AACCCTAAACCCCTAAAACCCAAAGTTTGGGTTGCGGCTCTCCCTCCTGAGTTGCCGTCGAGATGAAGGTGGTGGATGCCATTGCACGCCCGCGCTGTCCAGAGCATGGCCTGCAAAGAACCCTGAACTCTAAGGTTGAAACCATGGGTCCCAAGGTTAGGGGTTCAGGATTTAGGGATGGGTTTCGAGTTTAGGGTTTGGGCACTTAATCCCGGGATCCTCTTATATCTACTATATACCGTCTATGTACCCTTAAGGATCCCTAGAATCCCCCAAGAGGGCCTTAGGGCCCATATCAATTAGGGGCCCATACTTGTAACCTTAGATGAAAGTACCAATCTTCCTCTGCAGATAGAAGCCTGCGCAAAGTAGGTGCTATGTATAGATTTAAGCAGGTTGGGTTATTGGGCTAAGAGTTTGGGGAGTAAGGCGGATCCTACGACTAGCGTCTAGGAATCAACATTATGGGTAGGTCCAGGGGCTATAAGGTTCAGTGTGCAACAGTTGTGGAAATTTAGGGAATATACTAGAAACTTTAGTCAGGTGCTCGCATAAGCTCTAGAACCCTTTCAAAGTTCCCTCAGAAACCCCCAGAATACCCATGTTGCAGCCAGCCATGGATTGCTCGAAGTCGGGGTGTCCCTTAACGTCTTCCCGAATCTCCCCATATGATATTTCCTCAGGGTCTCTATAACGGGACCCTCAAAAGAAATCATGAAGGAATGGATCCTTACAGCAGTCCCCAAATAACGCATTTTGATAGTTTCAGTTTTCTTGTCCATTATAAACCCTAAGCCCTATGCCCTATAAAATCCAATTTTAATAGTTTTCATGTTCTTCTCCATTCCTTCCGTCCCAGCTAAGCAGAGGTAAGCAACGGGCCTGTTGTCTGGCCAGGGTACCGAGTCCTCGAAGACCAGCGACGGTGGATCGTTGCCTACACCGAAGAGCGGAGTAGATCTACCCCGTCCCTGCTATGCATGTAGGGTGTACTTGGAGGGTCATGGGGACTTTGTAAGTCGGTTAATGACCGCTATAGAACCCAAAATTATAATAACCCCAGTTATTCCCCTGATAACCTACTTACTAAGTCCCCGTGACCCCCCAAGTACGGGCGATGTCACATGCGCTGAAATCGGGTGACATTGGCTTGCTGGCTCATCCTGGCTCATGGATCCAGGATGCACATGTGGTAGAACCAGGACTGCCGGGGTGTTGAAGAAATCTTAAGAATGCCATGGTCTGTGGCTCCGTCTATGTCAGCCCAGAGCCCGAAAAAAAGGGGACATGACTTGTGAAATGGACCAGGTTTGTAAAAGGTAAGGACAGGTCATGAGCCTGCAGAGAACAAAGCAAGTCCGGGTAAGGCAGTTTCCCAAGCGTTCTACTGAAGCCTTACATGCCCCTGCGTGTCTGGGCATGGGGAACTTGCTAAGGCAATAAGACCCCTTACATCGTCAAACAAAATATGTCACTATATATCTCCCCGCATGCCTCTGCGCTTGTCCTCCCAAATGGCCCCTATAGCGCTTTTGAAGCCTGAGCCCGAAATCCAAAGACCTGACTCCTTCATCCTGCCATATCCTTATATATCTCATGCACCCAACCTCGTGGCCAGTCTAACCACCGCTGCACGGTAGAGGCCATGGTGTTGCCGCTGGACTCAGGCACCTGAAGAACAGCTTTTCTCATGGTAAGGCGCAGCACTGTGTGTCTTGTATCTTGATACATCGTATTTCTCAAGCTGTGATCACCAAATATACTTCGATCTTATTGTTATTGCAACCCCTTAGAGGCGACCCAGCCAGCATCATGAGCATC